TATTTATTTATTATTTATTTATTTATTTGAATGACCTCGCGTTTGCTGTTTACGACAGCAAAGTGCCTAACCGCTACACCACAGATGCAGGTTTGCTCAGGTCTGGTAAGAGCAAAACTACAAACTACGTCACGAAACATAGTGCTAAATAGGCTGGAGATCTACCACAAACACCCACCTCTAGCCCCATCCCAAACATCACAGCTCCTAAGTAAAACAAAATAAACCCTGAATAAAAAAACATAAAACTAAAACAAAACTTTCAATTTGAAAACAAACATTGACACTGAACACTTGGTTGGACACTCGAGTACACCTAAAATATATATATAGAAAAGAGGTACATTTGCTTTGTGTGCTATCATTACAAAGCGAAGACTTATACATAACAAAGCCTTTACGATATCTAGTCGTAAAATTAATGTATGAAATATCTCGCTGTTATTACACAAATATCACAAGTACTTTGAGATTTTTCGTGTTTGACTTCTGTCATATATTCAGGCCACCAACATCGCTGGCAGCGGTGCACTATTCATCGATGCAAATCTAAGGATGTAAACAAACTGCTGTCCATTCAGAAGTTTGCTAATGAATGGACATATGCTACGTACAGGTAGCTTCCTGATGAAAAAAGTCCCCCCCCCCTCCCCCATTCGCGAAACTCCACTATCGATTGTGTCAATTTTTGGTCGTCGTGACGTCATGCGCTAAAAACAGTTTTCAAACTCAAAAATTTTGGAACATGGTCTCGAAATTCAATATTAATCTAAAATTGATTTGCTGTGACTTCAAGTGTTAAAAGGAAGAAATACAAAGGTTTAAAAACAAAATTCACATGGGTCTCAAAAGTTTGAAGCATAAATCATCATCCTGCACGAAACAGACCCTGGGGGCTCTCGTGGCCTAGAGGTTAAGGTGTTGGCCTCTCTTTTAAAGGTCCCGGATTCGAATCTGGGTAGCGACCGAAACATTTTCTTCTCTAAATTTGTCTCCTTTCACCTCCTTT